TTCTATTCTATTCTATTCTATTCTATTCTATTCTATTCTATTCTATTCTATTCTGTTCTGTTCTGTTCTGTTTTGTTCTATTCCATTCCATTCTTCTCTTCACTGCATGGAGGGATCTAGAATTTTAGGAGATATGATGATTATGACGAAGAGAAATATACCCCAGTAGAGTATGTGTAAGAGTGTCTGCCTATGTTGGACAAGTCCTTGAAAATTTCTCAGCAAAGTATTTTGGAAGTGGTCTGCCATTGCCTCCTTCCTATATCTGAGAGTGAGTGACTGGCCCAAGGTCACCCAGCTAGCCTAAAATGGGACTAGAATTCATGGACTCACAGTTTCTAGTCAGATTCCTTGATCATTTCACCAAACTGGTGCTCACCTCAATAATTAGCATATACAAGTAGTCCTCGACTTATGACCATAATTGAGCCAACAACATTTCTGTTGTTAAGTGAGACACTTATTAAGCAAGTGTTGCCCGATGTTACGACCTTTCTTACCACTGTTGTTAATTGAATCATTGCAGTCAGAAGGCTGCAAAAGGTGATCATGTGACCTTGGGACACAGCAACCATCATAAATATGAACCAGTTGCCAAGCATCTGAATTTTGATCACATGACCCTGGAGTGATTCAAAGGTCATGTGAAAAATGGTCATAAGTCACTTTTTTCAGTGCCACTATAATTTAAATGCACTGTTGTATGACTATCTGCACAAATTTTGCCATCAAAAAGCGGTAGTGTTTGAAACACAGAACTGCCAGTTTTTTTTTTCCAATCTGCTAGCTTTCAGATGTGTTGCATGTTCTGGCATGCAATGACTAAATTGTAATCTCACACATCTATAGTGCACTAAGTAACAGACACCGCAGGAATTCAAGAAATGCTACTTTATTGCTGTGTAGTAAGAGAATTTTGAAATCCAGTCCCACATCTTCACTGTCCTTTTTAAAGACCACATAATCAAGATGGGATAGTTCTCTTTCTCACACTTTCTACTTCCTCGAGATTCAGTAACTGTTTTTCCTCTCCCACCACTTTCTCAAGGCTAGAACTAACTTCCTGAATAATGACAGAATAATACAATCTATCTTCTTTCTTGCCTAACGTTAACTGTTTCCACAATAGGCCTCTTTACTAGCTTTACTGTAAAAAAACTAAAATAAAAGCAACAATTCCAAATACTACAGTCCAAAATTTCTTACAGGAAATATATGAAATATATAAGCCTTAATCAAAAGCTTTGGGTAGTTTGTTTGAATTTTTTTGTATTTGTTGTGGAAATCAGAACTCTTACACTATTTCAACTGAGGTTGCCAGGACTATATAATTTAAAACCAGACAAAGTATCAGCAAATACATGGCAACATGCTTTAATATTAAGGGACACCATAATCACTGAGTCGTGAAACACTTCTTCTATGAAAGTAGTTCAGCTGTATCGCTAAACCATGGGAATGAACAAACGCCAAGAAAATATGCATTAATAATTAAAAGCAGAAGGAATATTCTTGAGTTTGTTGGCTGAGAAGGATAGATTTATAGTGCAGAGAAAAACATTATACATTGCTGTCATCTAGATTTCTACAGTCTCTTCTCAACAATTCAGGAGAAGTGGTGGGAATGCAGTTTACATGCCTGTGTACCTCTGCAGCAGTATTAGAGTAAAAAAAACACAGATGATTTTTTTTTTAGAGATTATCCTTCAACTTAGATTGCTCTATATTTTGGCCTGCTGCTAAACATAATAGTTAGCTTAAGCCTTGGTGAATTCCCAACATAGGTAGCACATTCCTCACCATCACCCTCTTTTTTTTTCATTTTTTAAGAAAGAAAGAGTGAACCAGAGAGAAACAAGCTGTGCAAAATGATGAGAAGTGGAAATCTCGCTATTAAATCCAAGACATCAGCAGTATTAAATAAGCAAAGATATATCAATCTGTAACAATAAAGATGAAAAACCTTCCCACTTTTCTTTAGGAACCAGGTAAAGAATAGCAAATTTTTGAAAGCTGGGATATGGCAGGAAAAAAAGTGTAGGTGTGCTTTCTTTTACCTCTCAATAGAGAACTACAATGTGCAATAAGAGGGTAGTTTTGGTCTGCGATGAAATGTGCAACAGAACCTGGGAAAGTTAAGAGGAATCAGACTTGTTGCAAAAGAGACATGATCCTATGGAAATAGATTCACAGCAACTCCATATTAAAATTATGTTAGATTCATAATTATGTTAAACTGAGTTGGGAACAGCTTTAACAATAACAATAGCAATTGCACTTACATACTGCTTTACAGTGCTTTACAACCCTCTCTAAGCAGTTTACAAAGTCAGCATATTGCCATAAACAATTTGAGTCTGAATTTTACCCATCTTGGAAGGATGGAAGGCTGAGTCAACTTTGAGACTGGTGAGATTTGGACTGCAAAATTACAGGCAGCCGGCAGGCAGCAGAAATAGCCTGCAGTCCTGCACTCTAACCACTGTGCCACTGTGGCTCATAACAACCTTTCAAGATGCTGCTGTGTTACCCTCTTAATATGATTGTCCTAATAATCTAAGAATTAAATATATTTCCATTCAGAAGGCAATTGCAATTAAAGGGTTGCTTTACTTCTCCATACAAGTCTAACTCCTCTTTTCTCTATCATTG